GGTACCAAAAAGCGCAGCCAATTGTGCTTTGGAAAGCGCCAGTCATACCTGAGCTCTTACAGGCGGTACCAAAAGGCGCCGGCGACGCAGCTATCGGCGCGGGAGCCATCTTAGTGCCACGAACAGCGTCGGCGGCATATGCGGCGGATCCGGCGCAGGCGGCCCCGGCAGCGGTGCGGGCGGCGCGGGCGGCGAGGGAGGGAGCGGCGGCACGGCAAGGGGTGGGGATGGTTCTGGCGACGGTGGCGGCCTCGGCGGTGGCGGAGGTTGGGGCGGCGAGGGTGGCGAGGGCGGCGGGGCGGGAGGTGCCGGTGGCGAGGGTGGCGCGGGTGGCGGCGTGGGTGGCGGTGGAGGGGTTGGCGGGGGCGGCGGCGGTGTGGGCGGCGCCGGTGGCGCGGGAGGTGCTGGAGGCACGGCGAGGGGCGGGGATGGCGACGGAGGCGGGGGCGGAGACGGCGGCGACGGCGGCGACGGCGGCGAGGGTGGCGGCAGTGGGGGTGCAGGAGGCGAGGGGGGCAAGGGCGGGGGCATGGGCGGCGGATCCGGCGCAGGCGGGGGCGGCGGCGGTGCGGGGGGCGCGGGCGGCGAGGGAGGGAGCGGCGGCACGGCAAGGGGTGGGGATGGTTCTGGCGACGGTGGCAGCCTTGGCGGTGGCGGAGGTTGGGGCGGCGAGGGTGGCGAGGGCGGCGGGGCGGGAGGTGCCGGTGGCGAGGGTGGCGCGGGTGGCGGCGTGGGCGGCGGTGGAGGGGTTGGCGGGGGCGGCGGCGGTGTGGGCGGCGCCGGTGGCGCGGGAGGTGCTGGAGGCACGGCGAGGGGCGGGGATGGCGACGGAGGCGGGGGCGGAGACGGCGGAGAGGGTGGCGCAGGTGGCGAGGGTGGCGGCAGTGGGGGTGCAGGAGGCGAGGGGGGCAAGGGCGGGGGCATGGGCGGCGGATCCGGCGCAGGCGGGGGCGGCGGCGGTGCGGGCGGCGCGGGCGGCGAGGGAGGGAGCGGCGGCACGGCAAGGGGTGGGGATGGTTCTGGCGACGGTGGCGGCCTCGGCGGTGGCGGAGGTTGGGGCGGCGAGGGTGGCGAGGGCGGCGGGGCGGGAGGTGCCGGTGGCGAGGGTGGCGCGGGTGGCGGCGTGGGTGGCGGTGGAGGGGTTGGCGGTGGCGGCGGCGGTGCGGGCGGCGCCGGTGGCGCGGGAGGTGCTGGAGGCACGGCGAGGGGAG